TCTATTAAAAGTAAATTGTCATATTATCCTAGTAAGAACAATAAATAACAAATAAATACCAACACTTAACAAATGTTAGAGAAATCTGTTCATGTCTTGAGTCTGAAAGAAAAAAAACCCAATTATGTTCTCCAGTATATTGTTGTTGACTTTTTTAAAATCACCAAATATTGGCATCCTATATCAGTCAAGCTCGATCGGAGAAGACTCATAGAGGTAGTGAAAGAGGACGTACAGATGGTTGCTGTGGCAGGTGGCAGGAGATGAGCTGTGGAGACCCTTTAAGGGAGCAGCTAAAAGAAGATGATGATGATGATTCTGACACGCATTGCTAAAAATTACAATTAAAATTAAATTGAATTAAATTAAAAGCTCTCTTTTTCTCTGCTTGCACACACTATGTATAGCAGAGGTTTCCCCAATGTGCCACATAAATTACCAAAGCAGCTTTTCAGACTATATACATTTAAAACTGTGAGTGTCAGTCTCTTTGTTTGTAGACTGTAAGGAGGGTATTGGGCCTATGGAGATTCACATCATGGGCGTGCAGCCAACAAACCGACAGCAACTGACTGTGCGATGCTGTCATGTCAGTATGGAGCAACAATCTCATTCACCACCTTGTTGAATGAGGGAGCACTGAAGGCAAAAGGTATCATTCATCATCTCTGCTATCAGCATCATCGCCCCACGTTTTTAACCCTGGAAGTTGTACCTCTACCACCATCTTTGTTATGTCTGAATTCCCATTGATTACAGCTCTAGGATATTTGGCTACCACCTCTTTCTCTCTGATGATGATGTCTCCTTTTCATACAGAGCGGATAGCTGTGGTGAATCAGTGCAGACATTTTTTTATTATTTAACGCCATTTATTTAAAAGATTAGTGAAAGAAGCAACACGTAAATACAACTTAAGACCAAATACTTGGCACGACTTCAGCTGTAGCTTCTAGCTAATATACCATAATATGCACTTTAATTTAACTACATTATTATTTGACACAAACTAGATATGCAAGCGGTTTGGTTGATTGTGCACCGTTACCTCGAATCACATAACTACTATCAATAAAACACTGACCTCGCATCCTCGCTTTTCACTGCTGGTGATTGAGACATGTTTGCAGCTCACGGTTCCTCACAGGTCTGATTACAGACTCTGTTCCGGCCAAAACAACTTTTAAACACGACGATGAGATATTTTTCTGGACATCTAGCAATGATTCTGTGATGGACATTAAGTGGCCTGTCAACGCTAGCAACTCCTCACTGTACTTTCGCCGGGGAAACAATCGCCAGTTTAACATTATATCAACATCCGGATCAACGCGGGTCAAACGCACGTCAGAATGTGTGAGCTAAAGCGTTTACTGCCACCTACCGGTGAGTCCTACCTATTCAACTGGACGGGACAGTGTCCCCGTAAAACATGTTTTAGATCATTTTTTTAAATAAAAAAAAAAATCTAGATTAAATTGTAAAAAAACAAAAAAAACAAAACGTTGTATTGCGTTATCTTTAAATTTACAGTTACTATTTCTACTACTGCTACATAATAATAATAATAATAATAATAATAATAATAATAATAATAATAATATAATAGCTGGCATTGACAAAAAGAACACAAAGAACAGCAATGCTTGTTTAAACAGCAATAAATAAATAAATCAAAACAACAGGAAACTAGGTATCATAGATTGAGAATGATAACATTTTCTGCTGGTTAAAGCCTGGCTATAGAGTAGAGGTGGTTATGGTCTGTCCCCACAGTAAGAGTATGATGCAATTAAATCTAATGAAGTTGCAATGGTAGCACTGTAATTTCCCAGTTGCTGTTTTTTTGTTTTAGTTTTTCATTTGATGTTTATTTTATTGTTCGTTGATATTGTTCTGCATGAAAAAAGCCAGTTCAAAAGAACAATCCTGCTTTCCATGTGGGTACTCCAGAAGGCTGTTTGAACAGTGTTTAGTAGATGAATCCTTAAATTACATTTACTGGGGTAAATAACAAGTGGTTTGGGTGGATAAGGAAATGCATTCCAGACAACCTCATCCCATTCGTGAAACATGGTGGTGATGCTGTCATTGTTTGGGTCTGTTTTGCTGCATACGGGCCAGGACAGCTCACCATCACTGAAAGAGCAATGAATTACATGCTACGCCTCCGAATTCTAAAGGAAAATGTTGGGAAATTTGTCTGAAAGCAGGTTGTGCAAAGCAATCAAGTGGTTCTACAAAAGGACGGTCATAGAGAAATCGAGTTATTATATTTAAACCAAGAGAAATCTCATGAAAGAGCCCGAAGTAAGGAAACATACCAAACACCTAAAGCTTTAAGACAACTGAGCTTAAAGCTTTAAGCTTAAGGTTGTGTAAGACTGATATGACTGTCTACTGTTTTCCTAATAATGTTAGGCTGATATTTGTTAGATCAGTTTAGCTGGGTTCACTTTATTACCTTTTACAACTTGCAAATTCTAAAATTAAATAAAGCACACAGTAAAATGCCACATTTGGAAAATCAGAACAAAGGCTAATTCCACAATTATTCATAATTTTGGAAATAATATTCATTGGTGTATATTTCTTAGACCATATTTTTCTCATATATGTATTTAATGTAATTTTGTATGCATAGTGTATTGTGGTTTTATATAACTGAATGCTGTAAATCTTCATTGTGCAGTGTGGATGTGAAACACCAACGAGGGACAAGGGTTTGGAAATTAGGGTGCATTTTGATTCACCACTGAAACACATGAAATTGCCTGTAGAAGCCAAAGTTGGTCAGGCCACACTGTTAGCTATGGTTGAATTTCATTCTATCCTGACCTCAACTCACCAGCTTGCCTCTATAGATGTACTTCTTGCTGACTTACTAAAGCAGGCAGCTTTTTTAATGTCAGGGGGTTGGTAAGTAGTTAGGAACCAGATTAAACCCATTTGCTTTTGTATTTTAAGTCCTTTTATAACTTTTACCCTGCAGTACTTTAAACTGGCTGACCATTTCAATGAGCAGGGGACACACTATTTCAGTTATAGTCTACAACTTGCTTAAATTGCTGTCATTCAAACACTCTGTCCATCCAGAAAGAGCTCCAGTGTGGGCTGAAAAGTTATGCAAATTCATAGTTACATTTAATTTTACCATAAACTCATATAATACACACCTAACATCCTAAAGGCAGTGCAGGGCAGGGAGACTGATCTGGGTGTCTGTCAGTCGGACACAAGCAAATCAGAGAAGCAGTTCAAGGGACTTGTATGGACTCGACCTGAAGGTGGAGACAGAGGTTCAAGTGCAGGGTTTCTGCAGCTCAGACATGGTCAATAACAACAGGAAAGTCAAATCAAACCTACAAAAAAACCCACAGCCATGACTAGTACGAAAGTCATTCTTCGGGTTGTGTCATAGTTTATGTTTTGCCTTGTTTGTCTTTGTGCTCCTCCTTTCTGCTGTTCCCTGAAAATTTATTTTTGGAGGGGCAGACTTTGTTATATTTTGTTGTAATTCAGCCACCAAAGTTTTGACTTATCCTTTTACCCCCCAAAAACAATTAAAAAAAATAAAAATCATGCACTCACATAGCAACTTTCTCAGTGTGTTCCCTGGTCACGTCTCTGTAGAAGTTGCACTGGCAATCCCTGTCAGACCTAAACATCTACTATTACTTTCAGCACGTGAGCTGCTCAGCTCAACAAAGGAAATTACTGAATGCTAAGAATGTTCTCATGTTTTTGGCACTTTCAGTATATGGTTCAGTGTCTCCCGCTGCAGTCTGGTTCGATAAACAAGACTCAGAGTTAAAGTTGGTGTGCTGATCACTCCATTAGTGAGTGAAAATTGTTGCAATACACATAAATCTCTGTCATATGTTGAAGCCATTTGGAGACAAAACAAGCGAGTGAAGTCTGTCTAAACTGCGAAAGAGGAACTCTTATTTAGTAAATGTCTATGAGCTCTATGTTGCCATGGTAATGTTACCTGTAATATTTTTTAATAGCAAAAAACTTCTGCAAGAAGTCGAGCATTTGGAGGGAGAAGCAACAAACAATGCAGTAAAAGGAGAAGGCGGTTGATTGACAAGTGTGACTGGTTGTTACATGGAAATATGGTTTCAACAGATTATCAGTATGTGGAAAATACTTGCGTGCTGAGGTGTTGCAGCGATAGCACGAACGTTTAGGCAGCCTGTCAGAGCAGGTACAGGAACAGAGTGAGGCCTTTCGCTCTGAGTCACACATTCTGTAGGCGTAGCTTTGTCACATTTTACTTTTAATTGTTGCAATTTTTGTTGTAGAGATTTGGACTCCCGATTATTAGACAAAGTCAAACGAGGCTAAATGTCAAAAGGTTCCTTTTAAATCTTAACACATTACTGACTACAAAATATACACAGTACACATCTAAAGCGTTAATGATTGCGGGAAAGGCAGCTGTGACTCACTGTCACGAGGTGGATGGATCACTAAGGAGGCTGACGTTACAAAGTTTCTTGTGTAAGGCAAGTCTTCAACCTTCACTGCGTTTTTGTCTTGTAAGGATGGGTGTGCGTTAGAATTACAGTGCTTGTTGACAAAACATTTTTATAAAGAAACTGAGAAGTATTTTTTAGTAGATTCTGTATTTTGATGTAATGCAGTATTCCTTGATTTTCACTTTTCACTTACAACAGTTACTTAGGAATGTAACAAAACGGGGTAAAGTTTGTTTGCTTGTTTTTTAAAGAATGAACAATATTAATTACTCTGGTTACATTTCAATCAATTCTCCATATGGAGCTGTGCCAGCAGACTGGCTGCCAACAGACATGACATCCAATTGCAGACTCCACTGCAAGGCTTCATTCATTAGCATCAATGGATAAGCTCTATGGCACTTAGTGTTGGATTATAACAACATTCTCTAACAGCAGAATTAACATTTAACTCTTAAAAACATCCTGATCGAGAGCATGTTAGCATAAGTAGTATAAGTTACCACAGAGACCTGGTGAGGTTATCGAGAGCCACATTTATTAAGAACATTAATCCTGATCACAGAGGACTAAAATTCAAAATATTCTACACAAAACTGCATTAAAAATATTTTGATAGAAAACTTCTGCATTTCAACAAATTGTTGCATTTAATTCTTAATCTGCATCCACAGCTCTGAAGTAATCAAAAATCAAGAATTTGACGATGCTTTGTGAATAGATGGAGGAGGGACGTTGGGAACCGGAAACACCACCTTCTTCCTGAGTGAGAAGGCTGGCTGAGGCATCTGCTTTCTTTGACCATACGGATCACTCTTCTTGCTAACATCTGCATTCACTTTTGTCAGGATTGACATGAGATCAAACTCCCTAGGAAAAATAAGACACAGGGTGAGCTAATGTACAGCATTTTTGTAAAAAAGCATTCTTCTTCATTTAAAAAATAAATAAATTTTATTATATTTGATATTTTGGTTCACTAACCTGGGCACCATCTGAACAAGGTTTTGGCACAAAGACTGAATAAACCAGGTGCCATTGGTTCTCTCTCTGAAGGAAACATGAAAAGGAACTGTGGCCATTCCCAGCAGGAAATCTGCACTATTTGGGATACCCTGTTTAGCCTTTATAGCATCAGTCCAATGAAAGCTGTATGCAGAGCTATCAGATTCAATGAAGACAGCTTGCTGCTCGTTGTTTCCCTGGCAGGCCTGGATGAAAAACAGCTTGGGCTTGCCCACTAAAGACGGGCAATTTAATCCATTGAAAAGGTCCGTCAAATCACTGATCTTGACAGTGGATCCATCCACACCGTACACGCTGCCTTCCACACCATGACTCAGAACACAGCACACTACGCAGTCAAACCGACTGTGGTCTCTTTTGCCAAGCTCCTTGAACACAGAGAGCATCTCGTTCGTGTCACAGTCATGGTGGCTCTCCACTTTAAAGCCGAGCCACTGAAACACACTCTGCAGACATTCTGGAAGAAACAGACGATCTAAGGATGATGCAGGACCACAAACATGAAGCGTATATTCACTGCCAAAATTTGCTTACTTTGATCCACTTCAGTTCCTTCCCGTTTCCTTAGTTGGCTGGACTTACTGAAGTTATCGTTGTTAACAATTAAACAGATGCCCCTCTTTTCAGATGTCATGGGATATGTTCCCAAGCCCTACAGAGATAAATGACACAGATTACAGGGAAGACATGATTCCGTGCATTACTTGTAAACTTCTATTTGATCCACAAGTTAAACTCTGAAATGAAAACTAAGTATACAAAGGGAAGAATGATCCGCCTGGAGGGCACCAACTCAAATTAAATGTAGTGCCAGGGCCGTAACCAGTGATTACGATTTAAGCATGTCACATACCGGTATATAAGAAAAAAATACACACACCTCATCTTGTGTGTTTGTAGATGGCGATATCGGCATGGTGACGGACTCCTTTTCTTGAGTTGATATAGCATCAGTTGTCATAACGGGACAGGTGACTGCAAAGAAGAGCAATAATTGTGGGGGGAACAATTATATTTCAATGTTTTAAACGTCTGGTATTATTTCACAAAAAGCTAAACAAGAGTTTAGCTATTGTTTGAATCACGACTGCTCGTCTCAGTGCTTAACCCATTCGATTCAGTTTAATTTATACAGTGCTATGTCAAAACAACAGTTGCCTCAAGGCGCTTTATATTCTAAGGTAAAAGGTTTTGCGACAGGGAAGGAAAAACTCCCTTTTAACAGGAAAAAACCTCCAGCAGATTTAGGCTCAGGGAGGGGCGGCCATCTGCCGCAACCGGTTGTGGGTGAGGGGATGAAGATACCAAAGACATACTGTGGAAGAGAGACACTGTTTATGTGACTGACGCTCATTTTTTTTTTTTTATCTCCCCATAAGAGGAATGCAGGAAAGTCAAATTCAAAGATCATTAAAAATGATTTCAAAGCAAATCTTTGACTAATTCCTGACTGAAGCTAATGATTCTAACAAACTGATTTAGAGTATTAAATGACTTTGCTTGTATTCGTATGCAATAGTGATACAAAAATAACCTAAGTAAACTTAAAAAAAAAACAAAAAAAACAACCCATAATAGTAGTGTTTCAAACTGTAAGCTTAAGACAAATTTGAAGCCCGCTTCGAACCAGATATGGCTATCCAAGCATCTAAATGGAATGCAAAAGGAAATATGACTTTTACAGTTAGCTGGTTTTCCAAATGGGCCCCTCCCCACTAAAGATCGACAATTGCCCTGATAAGGATCAGAGCAAACAGAGTCCTAGCTTCGCTCTAGTAAAAACATAAACAAAAAACAGAACCATTAATAAGATGGAATGTGACTGTAAAGTGAAGTGAAGATAAGACACAGCACCCTCTATTTAAAGCAAATGGTCAAAGTGCATGCCTGCCCTGCTTTAAGGCTATGGTTACATAAACTTTACTTGTGTCTTTTCACAGGCATAAAGTCATAAAGCACCGTACAACAGTTAATAGAATGGGAAAAAAACAAAGAAACAACCTGAAAAAGCAACCTGTCAGAACAGAATAAAAATAATGAAATAAGATAATAATATTAATAAAAAGAGAATGTCAACAGAAGGACTGGGTGTCACAAACTGAAAGCCTCTGTCTGCAAATGAACACTGTGAGAAATAAGATGTTACAGTGAAGAATAAAATATTACAGCTGCATTTAATAATTTATTCCAGGGTTAGTGTTTTGGTCCATCTTCCTCCCCTCACCCTGTTGGCATCAGACAGCCGCCCCTCTCTGAGCTTCTGCTGGAGGTTTCTTAATTCAGACGTTAAAAATAACTTTTTCCTTCCTGCCATCACCATGTGCTGTTCATACGAGGTTGTGTGATGTGATCGTTTACGTTGTTTTCCTTATTATGTAGGATGTTTACCTTACAATACAAAGCGCGGTGAGGCAACTCTTGTTGTGAGTTGTAGAATAACAATGGACCTAGAATTGAACCTTGTGGAATCCCACAGATTAGAGGACCTGTGTTTTTGTCCCAACAGAAAAGTAATCTAATTACCTCAGCATAATTAAAATAGAAAAGAATAGAACTGTGTTTCTTTTCCATCTTTACTTACAAAAAAAAGTAACCAGAATGGCAAATAGACTCAAAAATAAAATCAAATGAAACTGAAATTACATTCAGCAAGAGACGATTTGTGAATAGCTTACCTCGCTGTTTTTTAAACTGGTTGATTTTAGCATTCAGCATGGGACACACCTCCCTCACTATGGTCTCCAGGGTGTTTAGATTACTTTCGCTAAGGTGGTCCATGCGCTCCATCTCCAGGAAGACTTCCAGTGTAGTCTGAAAATGACACAAGGTCTTTGCACTGATGGAAAAATGAAGTGTATGTGCGGAAGTTCTGCAGGTTTGTTCATAGGAAAATGTGACAACGTATGGCAGGCGATGCTACAGGTAACAAGTACACATAACACATTGTTATAAAGAAGGACTAGAATGAAATATTATGGGCTACATTTACCACATTTCTGAAGGCGCACTTACAATATGTTCCCCCAGTTTTCTACGTGGGATCATCGTGTTTAACAAGAACTTCACTTCTCTCAGATCGCCATCAGTAATTTCTTCAGAGAGGCTGTAAAGAAGCTTCCTGGAATTACAGAAAAACATTTGATAGAAATAGCTTTACAGATTAAAATTTATTTTTCAATGTAAACCTAAATCAGAAAAACGAAACAGTACGAAGCGAAACATCAACGGCATACCTGTAGGGAGAAATAAAGCTCGTTGTTGTATGTGGAGCGAGACAGAGATCCCGGATCAGGGCATGATGTTCAGTAGTGACCAGAAGCTCGGTCAGGAGCTGTGGGTTCTCAGGTGAGAGATGGTCTTGTTTCATCAGGCAGGAGAAGAGCTCACTGGCCGTTTCCACCTTGTTTGGCTTTTGGTCCAGGAGGTCAGTGCAAAGAAAGACCAAGGCTTTCACTTCATCTTTAGACAGTGCCTTACCCACCTTTAGCAACAAATTTTGGAATTCCATTTCCTGTATTTAAAACAAAGTACAAGACTTTCAGAAACCAGAAATTTAAATATGTAGCCTAGGTCTGTTGTTTAACTATGCAAAGTGGTCACATCATGCAAATTGCTCCTTGGAGAAATGACTCAAAAATAGTCATTTCAATAATACTTTTTTGCATTCTAGATGATTTTACGTCTCTTACGAAAAGGCAAATAAATAGGGCTGTCTTGATGTTGTACGTTTTCTCCGTTATTATTACTATTATTATTATTATTATAGCATGTCTAGAATATCTTATTTGATGTCTAGAATACAAAATTGATGTATCTATAACTCAACGAGAGCTGCCCCTTACTACCAACTGCGCCTCATAATTCCGGCTGACCATGTCCATCCACCCCTTTATGACCCCAGTGTATCTATCCTCTGATGGTTGCGTCCAGCAGGATATTACACCATGTCACAAACATCAAATCATCTCAAGGTGGTTTCCTGAACATGACAATGAACCCGTTGCACTGAAAAGCCCTCCACAGACATTATGGTCTTAATCCAACAGAGCACCTTTGAGAGGTGGTGGAAGTGGAGATCCATATCATCGGTGTGAAGCTGCGAAACCTGCAGCAACTGTGTGATGCCATCATGTCAATATGCACCAAAATCTCAGAGGAATGTCACCAGCACCTTGTTGAATACATGCCATAAAGAATTAACACATTTAACATTTACCCAGATTTTTTCAACGTAATTTAATACTGAGGCTATAGACATACCCACAAAATACCCCACAGATGATCTAATATTGGTTCACGACTAGGGTTGCCAAACTCTACATGGGACTGCACAGCATTTTTTTTCTTAACCTCTGTCTCATTCCTTGAGGCCATGTATGTCCATTTAGTCTGGATCTGGAGCACACACATTTTTCTGAAGTCGAGCTTTCACCCAATGCATATAAAGGGAAGTCTTTTTATTGCAGACAGAATAAAGTTAGTCTGTCAAATGCAATAATAATCTTGGTAATTTCTAACGTTCCCTAAGTTTAAAAACAAACAAACAACCCCGTCACACATGGCTTCAAAACGTAAACCAACCTATGATAGCATCCCTACTGAAACCTCAAAACAACTTAGTTTTTTTCGTTTTAACCTTATTGAATAACATGGTAACACGCAGAGTTTACTGTATTCTCATTTTTCAGTTAGTCTTCTGTCCCGGAAAATACATTGCATAACTTCAGCACACTCAAAGGTAACCCATGGTAGCCATCTGTGCTCAAACACCATCTCGTGCAGAGGTACCTGTATGGACACGCGTTGACAGCTTGTCTGAAGGACGACGACGACGATACTGGTTGTTTATGTCCACATACTTCCAGCGTACTTCATGTTGTCGGTGGCTGCTGAAAAATGGTTTAACTCGCCATCGAGAACGTCACAGACTTCGTAGAGCAACTTTTCAGTAGTTATAAGTCCAGGCGAGTAAGCAGGAATCGAAAGTGAAAGAGAGTCTGCCGCATCGACAAGCTAGTTACTGTGCGGATCACTTATATGTAAAGGTGAAAATATAGCAACCTGTTTTCACTCAGTGGGATGTGTACTCCAACCTGCCATTATGTCAACAACTACCTGTGTGACGCACGTGGCCTCGATCGGGAATCACCTCTGCGTGAGCCTGGAGTCATGTCTGGGCAAGTCCCCGACGAGGCAGGGTAATAATAAATCTAGATTGAGTAACTACTGTATATAAAGTCTGTAGACTAATCAAAGAAAAGTGCTCACTCCTGTTTACTTTCAAAATATTATGATCACTGAAACATCAAACTCTGCCTTGTGTCTGCCAACAGGATTTCTTTTATACCCATAAAAGACAAATCTGTGTTGCTTTCATCGTTCATTTCCTAATGAATTCTCTGGAAAAATGTAGTTTTGAAGTCCATTTTTTGTTACAGAAGCTCACCCAAAGCACTTTACAGGCATACTCAATTTAGGCCTCCAGTAATCCAATTACACATAATAAGACTCAGACATACGATGATTCAGATGAGTTGTGTTTACTTGGTCCTTAAGACAACTCTAAAACAGTGGCTCTCTTCAAACCCAAACTAGTTGTCTAATGGCAGAAACATTCTCACTCCCATGTTCCAGCTGCTTATTCTACATGTCCTCCATTTCACCTGGCAGAAAAACCTCAGATCAAATTAGTGAGCAGTTTGAGTTTGGAGGAAATTTTGCTTAAATGTAGATCAAATCGCATTTCTTGTGAAGTTAGAGTCTGACAGCCAGGTTTTATTTGCTGACTGATTTATTTTGACATTCAGGGAATTACAGCTCACAGCAGTGAAAAAGCATTTCTGCCTAAAATGAACAATCGGGCACTACTATTCTGATGAAAAGACAGCCCAAACATTATAACAAAATCACAACTCTTGATATGAACAGTACATCAGGCAAGATTCAAATCTTAATTCAAAATAATAATTTTAATAATAATTAAAAATTAAAACTGCATAATCATAGCGGCATGATTTGAGATTGATAAAAACAAGCTGTAGTCATTAAAAGGCTGTGGGGTAAAATTTTATGTTGCCAAATTTTTTTCGCTTTGAAGTGTTGGATAACAAAGCTCAGTGTCCTAAAAGTAACGAGGTCTCACCTCCATTCATGTTTACATAAACCAGATCCTATAAGTAAAAGTCACTTTAAGAAAAATCGAGTTTTTCTTCTGGGAAAGAATGTTTATAAAAAGCTATCTACTTTGAATTATCCTTAATCTTTTCTAGTAGTTGTGCGTTTTATTTTGGCTCTGTCTTCAGGGTCTTGATTTGCCCTCTACGTCTCACTCTCACATGGAGCCACGCGTGGGACTTTGCTCCTGAGCGGTTGAATCTGAAGGATTCTGAAGGAAGGGGGAAAAAAAGACAGAAAAAATGCTAAGCATGTTACAAAATTCATGGGGCAGTAGATGCTTGTATCAAAAGTCAATTGCATTAAAAAAATAGACATTTAAGTCAAAAAGCATTGGTTTAAAGCTTTCAGTGCAAGAGATGCAGTAACTATGGCACTTTGGCTCCACATTTGACGCTTCACTAAACAGCTAAAATGAAACAACAGAGAAAAGCCTGCAGTGAGAAGAGTGATAATGGGGTCCTGTGACTGACCAGAAAGCTAAAAAGAGAGGAAAGCAGAGACCAGGCAGCCACAGGGAGCCGTTGTAGTGAACCGAGTAGGGAATGGGTGTGTAAAGCTTTGCAAAGGTTGAATCCCAGCTACAGTCAGATGCAGGAGCTGCAACAAGGTATAAAGATGCCCAGATGGTTAGGAAAGGATAAATCCAGTTGATTTTTATAAAGGAGAAATTAATCGGGATTAGCAACGATTGTTATGTCCTAAGACTAGGGTTGCCAACCGTCCCTTGAAAAACGGGATTGTTCCGTATTTAGAAACAAAAGTATTGAGCTGAAAAAGGGATGCACTTTGTCAAATGGTTAAAAAAATAATTTCACACAAAAACAAGAGCTAAAAAATTCCCCACACTGGGAAAGGTGAAGACAATCGGGTCGCCCAGCCCTGGCCATGAGGTGTCCCTTATTTATTTTTCAGGGAGTTGGCAACCCTACCCAAGACACTTCCCCCCAGGATGATTCCCAGGTTTCTTGCCATCCCAGCTGGCACCACCACCACCTCATTGTTAGTGACCTGTTCTCTGTGAGAGGACACTTACTCAGCTCTTTCCAGGGTAGAAATCTAATGTTCATTTCTCCCTTTAAGTTTCACCCTGTGCTGTCGGTGTATGACAACTTTAAGTAGAAAAAGACACCTCGTGTGAAGGAAGAGTCCCAGTGAAACAGACTTCAACACAGCAGAGCTGCTATCCAACAGGTTCCAGACGCTGTGGATGTTATTACAGTCAGCATCCCCACTGTGAAGCTTCCGATTACCTGTGTGGTTTTCTCCTGCTCAACAACAAAGCTCTGGTTGTCTGTACCACAGTTGTCTCCCCCATCATCTATTAAGAGAACATGTAAGCGAGTCTCACTGATGCAGGGGAGAAGAGGTTTGACAGAATTCATATGTCGACATTTACTGAATGAAGGAAAGGTGTACAGCCACACCTAATCAATTATAAATGCACGAGGAGCATTTTAAGGAATGAAAAACTACATTTGATAACTGCAGGTGAGTCGTGGAATTTAATCTTCAATTCTCCAGTATAAATACAATTTAATATTAATTTTTCTTTTATTGTAAAGAAACTAAATGATCATTTGTCTTTGCAAGGAGAAGTGTGTGGTTGAGTACTCACTGTCAGTAATGAGGGACTGGACAGCAGTTATGTGTCGACGGCCCAGCCCATGACTCCTGGACACAATGCAATTTAGATAGATGTCCCAGAAGACTTGGGCCAGGTCCCAGAACAGTGCAGTGTGTTTGCTGTTGTTTGAAGCCCTGAGTGACTCCATGAGGTCCCAGAAGGCAGGCACTGTGTCAGCAATCCTCGGAGAGCGCATCTCCAGCAGCAGAGCCGAGGACGCCTCCCAGCATTGCGGATTGCCCCGATGGGCCTTCAGGGGGTCCACCTGACCTGGCTTCTGACCTTGCAGTGGCACGGCGCACATACAGGTCAGTATGAGCACTGTGGCTATGCCCATGTTATTTAGCACCAGGACCATCTGCAAAAGAGCACAGAGCAGCTTTTGTATTAGATTGGAGGTTTTGCATATTTAAAATATTAAGAGCAGTCATAAACACTTTCGCACAGCATATTTGAATATGCTACATTTGCAAGTGTTCAAGCTTTACTTTGACCATTTGTTTTTCTGGCAAATAAAAATGTACTTTTTGGGTTTATTATTCATTTTGCACTCCTCAGATCTTCAAATAAATTAAAAACAAAAGAAAAAACTGGAAACCATTACAATATTGTACTTAAAGCCTTGGTATTCAGCCCAGCTTTAGCAATAGGTGTTGATGGGGGTTTAATAAATATCCGTTTGGTCTTAACTGACGCCAACGCTTCCCTCCTTTTTATGCAGTGTTAGACGAACGCTTGTCATGTTTATTGACATTTCTTAATATTAAACTTGGTTCATTTCCAGTCTTTGCTAAATTTTTCACTATGGCTTGCATTCTTTGTCGCTTTCAAATCTTTGGCATCAGAAGAAAAACTGCAGCTGGCTCTTTTAAAATAAAAGGAATGAATAATTAAGCGAATTGTGATGACAGTCTGCTTTTAGCTCAGCTGCAGTGGAAGAGGAAGTTTAGAGAGCAGTGCAGTTGACACACTAGTGAAGTCTCACCTTTATTCAGTAGCATGCTGGAACCTGTGAGGACGAACACCTGCAGCTGTTGCATGTCATACTGAAATTTTGTTTAGAGAAAGCATTACCTGAAAACCTGCTGTGCACAGTTTGTGTTGTCCAGTGTGTTTCCTAGAAAATAAAGTCAGTAGTGCTGAAGCTTTAGATTTAGGTAGACTCATGGGCAGAGGAGTCGTTTGCTGCCAAACTATTGGAGAATGAATTTTAATTTTTGTAAAACAGCACTGACAGAACCTAACTAAGAAGTGCTTTTAATACTCAAGAAGCAGAAATCTGGTTGAGATTTTCTTTCAAAATGTATCATTGGTGCAACTAACTTTGTGTACCCCAGTACTTTTCCTCAATCGACTCATACGACTCATATGACACAAAATACTGAAAATGTTAATAATTCCTCGTTTGAGTGATCCCATACATTTTTACATAATATTCTAACTACAGTAAGCAACAAAATATAAATGTGTAGAAACAAGACTTTTTAAAAAAAAATTTACATACATTTTTTAGAAGGAATTAAATAAAGCTTTATGTTTATTAATCAATTAGCTTTAGAATAATTGTCTGTTGAGTGATATGCATGTACACGGAGTGGAAAAAAGGTTACTAAAGAAAATCCAATCTAGTTTGTGGCTTCAGTAAAGAAAAAAAAAGTTTTTTAAAATCATTACACAAAGACAGATTAGCCGTTTTAGATATTTTTAACAATAATCATTTATCCAGAAAAACAAGTACAGAATAGCTTTAGTGAAGTATAACTTAAGGTGATACATATGATTTAAAAAAAAAAATCCACACTTTAAATGCCACGTTCATGCCGCTTGTGATGGAGGCATTACGAGAACCTTTTTCTGTAGTATTTAAGATGCGATAACTGAAACTAAAGCCTTATTAGCTCCCATTATATTTTTCCCTATTCAGTTTTAAAGATCAGCTCTCCAAATCCAAACACTAGGCCTAGAAAGGTCTTGCTCTGCCTAAAAATCCAAACCTAAATAAATTATTGTTAAATAAAATATTGTACTTACCACTTAAAGCCTTGGTAGTCAGCCCAGCTTAAGCGTTGATGTGGGTTTGGTAAATATCAGGTTGGTCTTAAGTGACGTTAGTGCCTCCCTCCTTTGCGTGCAGCGTTAGTCTAACGCTTGTCACAATTATCAATCACCTTTTTTCTAAGCATCATTTCTGCAGATGAACAGTGGCAGTTTAATATTAAACAATTCTGAAATTATCAATTCTCTTGATCACATTCAGGGAAGCATGGGAGCTTAATTTAGAAATATTTGCTATCGTTTATTGCATAGTTACATAGTAATGTGGTTATTTGGCTGATGACTGTTGCTGTATATACAAAATGTGTAAGAACTACAAAAGGAAACTGCTGAAATGCAATTTAAAAAGGCAAGACATTATAATTCAGTGGGAGGTTATTGATGTTTAATGTGCATGTACTGCAACGGAAAGGACATTTATAATGATTCTGCACCCTGATGCTGGTTATGTGGAGACAGAAGCTACTAACTCATCATAATACTTGAGTTAACTGTCTAATGTTAGTTTTTTAAAAACCAAGCAATTTTAGTACAAGAATGTTCAGGGGAAGTTGCAGTTTACTTCCTGTCCACCTGCTGCAGACTGACCACACTTCAAAGATTTAATATATTTTGCTTACTGCACAAGTTTAGTTCAAACTAAGAAGAAAACATGAGCAACCAGATCTCAGAAACTTTGCAGCTTCTGCCAACTGTGAAAAACTTGAAGACCAGTCATCAAGAGTGGTGAACGAGTTACGTTTCTATGCTTTTACTGAAATGTCACAAGCATACCTGATCTCAAATGCAATTACTTTCACAGTGAGAAGCCAACACTAAATGTCCTGGGTGGGTTTCTTACTCATTCATCCTTTTCATGATGTAAAGAAGTAGACTTTACAACAGTTTTACTGCAAAGGCTAAATTATAACTTTTAAACAAATACCATTTTCATATTCATACAAGAAATGTATTGTTAGGATACTTCTACACAGGAAGAGATGCAGCGGAGTGAAAATCATCATCATTATGAGAAATTACGTGAATCATGAATACTTCTACAAACCGGCAGGGAACATTTGAGTGACTGCATGTTCGACATTATGGTATACACACCGGGGTCCCTCAAGGGGACGGTGTGGTCTCCCAGCAATATGGATCCAGGCACAAAAATCCCAAGATTCAGACTCTAGTTCACTCACTTTCAAACATTTCATTTCTCTAATGGAACCACAAGGGACTGCACTCAGTAAAGGATTTATTCATCAACAAGGTTTTTCCCACATACCGGCAACTGCAAGAAAAATTTGACTTGCACAGTAATGACTTTTTCAAATACTTACAGATCAGAAGCTTTGTAGGGAGGCTTTTTCCATCTTTTCCAGATCGGCCCCCAGACTCTGCCTTAGATAACTTATTTCAGTTTGATCCACTCAAGAAAGGACTAATAACAAAAATTCACAACGCATTGTCACAACTGGATGGAATTATCACACTTGACTATCTGAGAGAGGCCTGGCAGTGTGACCTTGGTACGAGAATTCCAGACAATCAATGGACAAAAGCCCAGGAAAATGTACACTCTTCCTCTGTTTGCATTCGTCATGGACTCTTACAGTTTAAAGTGCTACATAGACTCCATGTATCAAAGTTGAAACTGTCAAAAATGTTCCCCAATGTAAACTCGTCCTGCGAAAGATGTAAACAGCAACCTGCTTCACTGGCGCATATGTTTTGGAATTGTCCCTGTATAGCAACATATTGGAATAATGTCTTTCATATCTTGTCTAAAATTCTTAAAAAAAAAACTTAAGCCAGACCCAATCTGTGCTTTATTTGGAGTAAAGCCGGTTGTTGTAGACCTATCAGCCACCCAAAATAATGTGATACGTTTTGTGATGCTGCTGGCACGCCGTTTGATTCTACTAAATTGGAAACAAAAGGTGCCTCCTACCACATCAGCGTTAATACAAGATGTATTGAGACACTTGCAGCTGGAAAGAATTAAACTCCTACTAAAGGGGAGGTTGGAGGAATTCCATTCAACCTGGCAACCTTTTATAGATCTCTTCAATACTGTACAGATATAAATGATCACTGAGCCTCATTGGTAGTTCGATAAATAGCATCCTCTGTCCAACGTTCCTTCGTTGTTGTTTTTTTTGTTTTGTTTTGTTTTGACTTTAATTCTTATTGTATATATGTAATCATTTATATTTGAATCTTAGTTGCCTTTATGATAAAGAACACTGGAAAACCAAATAAAGAGATTTGAGAGAAAGAAAAAAAATACACTTTATGGTTGATGACAGGCTCATGTTAGGTTTGCATTGTTTTGTATTAATCACTTTTGTCACTTGAGTTTCCTGTCAAAGTCCTTCCCAGATTAATAAAAAAACAGATTCATGTCTACCTGAGCTTGACGCATGACAAACAGACGACCTGACGACGATGATGAACAAAGGGACCCTAACACAAACATACGCAGGCTGTAATGAGGGAATGTGCAACAGGAGGGAAACACAGCTGGACCTAATTTGACATAACGAGATAGGGAGGAAACAAACTGAATGCACTAATGCAGGACTATCAAAATAAAACAGGGAGCAAGACAAATACTGAGACGAGGACGAAGAAAAAACGTGCAACACAGCGAAAGCACAGTGACAGAAAGCTAAAGCCTAGAATCTATAAATATAACACAAGTCCACACAATACGAGAACCAAAACCATGAATGACACAAAATAAAGGAATGTTAGAAAAATCCCAAAACACATGAACACTAGGTCACGGATCCAGTGCCATGACAGTGACAGCATGGGGCAGAATGGAGTTTCTTTGCATTGGTGTTAGTTATTGACCCCATAGTCCCCCCCTGCATTTCAAATGGTTTGTTCCACCTCCTCAAAGTTGCTCTTAAATAACACCAATCACACAATCAGGAGCTGCTAGCAGTTCATTGAGGATTTAAAACAGGGGTCCCCAATCCCAGTCCACGAGGGCCGGTGTCCCTGCAGGTTTTAGATCTCACCCTGGGTCAACACACCTGAATCACATGATTAGTTCATTACTAGGCCTCTGGAGAACTTCAAGACATGTTTAGAAGGTAATTTATCCATTCAAATCAGCTGTGATGGATCAAGGACACATCTAAAACCTGCAGGGACGCCGGTCCTCGTGGACTGGGATTGGGGACACCTGATTTAAAAGAAAAGAAGACAAATGCTTGGATAAAATTTGTCCGTAGTTTATTAATCAGTCCAACTGTACATAATGCAGTGAGAGAGGGACACCAGACAATGATTAACATGGAGGATTACAACGATGCCAGTGCTATGGCAGCACCTGGAATACACCAACAATCAGCTGGACTGGAAATGATAGCCCTGCACAAGGAAACTGTTCAGGCCTCGATATGTACAGGCACCATACAGAGTGTGTGTGTGTGTGTATAAGTGTGTATGTGTGTGTGTGTGTGTGATTAAAAATATCTGTCTGGATGAAAAACACACAAAAATGATTTTCAGTTCCATAAATGTAAAAGGGTGCTCTCTCTCTTATCCTCTGAAATACTAATTCAGTTATTTTGATGATTTCTTTACTTGTCCATCCACAGGTTGAGTACACTGAAGCGAAATGAAAGGAGACATAGGAGTGGCCAAATACAAAAGATTAGCTGATTAGCAGAGGTTGTTTTTTTTTTTCCTTTTGTAAAACCATGTCTACACCGATATCACTATTACCCATACTTTTGTGCAATATCTTTCTTTGCATAGTAAATAAAAGTTAAATGTTTTTTATTGTTGACATGCACCTATCTTTTGTAGCATATTTTCCTTGCAGATTTTGGGGACTCCCATATAGAATTATAAGCCCACTATAGTGATTTGCATGCAGCATTACCTGTAGAGCTGAACTTGATTTCTACTAAGAGTTTATGAGAGCAAAAAGGCTTAAGCCAGTATAGTGGGTGTTGATGAGGACTGTTAAGTGAGACCTGGCCGGACACGTGAGCGCCTGCATGGACAGACTTCATGCCCTCAGCATGAGAGGCACCACTGGCTGCAGACAGAGGGGAAAGTGCTCCGTGTGCAACAACATCCACATGTTCGGGTGATTGGTTCTTTGGCTTTTGAGTCAGTGTTGAAGATACTTCAAAAACAGGGGGCTAAATCGGATCACAGTCTGAATCTCTCCGGAAATGACGCGCTTCTCCTCGACACCACAGCTTTCTCTCTCTGTCCTCAAATCTGACTTTAGATTTTCTTCTCTAACCATTTTGGCCCAAATCCTAGTCTCAGTTTGTTTGTTTTTTATTTTAATAACATTACCAAAAACACCCGCTATACAAGATGTTAAGATAAAAAACAAAAGCATTTGATGTCCTTGGAAAATATGCTGTCAATTCCAACCCTGAACTCCTTAAATATGTACAGTGGTGTGTGCATGTGTGTATGTGTGTGTGTGCGCATTCACTACATGGCCTGCATTGCCCTTATAGGTCCTCACATGAAGTTCTGCTTCAACAGGAGCTTCAACAGGCTTGTCACTGGGTTTGGTTTTTAATGAGGCTCTCTCCTGCGCTTTTTTTCTCCTCTTTCTGTGTTTTCTTTTTTCTTCTTTTTTATTTTTGCAGTATATTCATAGCTTTGGTAGCCATGCAGAGCCCCGCAGAGAAGGCTCTTCATGCCGGGCGCGGGCGGGTTGGGTGGGGGTCGGGCGGGCCAGCAAGCAGCAGGTTTTGTTTCGATTTTATTCATGCCAGGTGAGAGAGTGGTGTGGATTCCGCCTGAACGCCTGTGCACTGGCACTAAAGGATGGAAAGAGGAGCTCTGTCACTCTGGAGATCAGGGTGGAGGGGCGTGGGTGAGGTGTAGTTGAAAAAGGCTGCATTTATAATGTCACTACGATGGAAATTTGTTAAAATGTCCACTATGTCTTTTTCAAGTAAATCTAATGCCAAAGAATCAGCAGCAGTAAGTGCAGTCCAGCTGTCAGGTAGCCAACTAAGGAAGCCTTGGAGCAGTCCCTGTGTGATTGCCATCTTCTCCTTGGGTTAAATGGCTGTGGCATTGGGGTCATACCGCCGTTTCTTCACATTTCTTGATGAGGAGATAAGAAAAAGAAGTCAGCATCTGCTATAATTATATATGCAACGGAGCTAGTGCAACCTGGACAAGCAACCACGCTCTCTTAAGGAAATGCTGTTAGTTGCAGTTTATTATGTAAGGCTGTGTGCAAAATCCCATACTTACGTACTTTTTAGTAGTAGTAGTAGTACTAGTAGTACGTGAGGATTGTTTGGTATAACACATTCTCAGTATGTATCCAATAGCATGCGAGGTACATACTATTTTGGGTAAGCGGGACAGTGAGCTGAAATCTAACATTGATAACTCTTGAACTTGAGTGTTTAAATACATGCTTTCACTCTGCTGTTAATAAAATTTCAGCAAAGGCACTGGAATGTATCCTAAGGTTTAAATCCTACTGTTTAAGTGATACATAGTATGGGATTTTAGACACAGTGTAAGTGTGCCTGATGAAAATGTTCCAAATGTGCACTTTTTGAGGGCTTCAGGATCAAACGCCGAGGACACTGAAGTGAGGACAGGCTGGTCCATGTTGGCCCGCTCAGCCTTGACTGCAAAGAGACAGTCAGAGGTATTTACAGTCACAAACCTGAGGTCTACAGTGTCAGCGATGAGAAAACATCACATCTGCTTTACAGTTTTTGTAGTACTGGCCAGATCTGAAATAAATAGCCTAAATATGTTTAATTTTTGAAATCAAAGAACAATCAAGTCTAAGCCATATTACATCATTTTTAAGGTGTTACGAATATAAATATACTCTGTTGCCTTCTTGCAGATGTGCTGATCGGCTCCTTCGTGCAACATCAGTTTACAAGGTGAAGTGTAGGAGACACGTGTCATTACCGGTATTGATGGGAAACACATTAGTTCCACTCAAAACAACCATCTGGGAGGAAAGAGCTAACATAACGTGTACTCTACAGCGGAGAGGAGGAAAGAGGAGACGAGCACAGAAATAACGATCACAGCGGCGGCAGCAGCAACAGTAACTACTACCACAACAGTGGGACAACAATGAGTACAACAACAGGAGTGATGCATAACCTCCCCGTACTGTGGCTTGCTGTGGGGCTTCTATCACTCTGTCATGCACCTGTTCCAATAGTCGGCCAGTTGAAGGTGGCACTATTGCTGTGCGTGGTTCATGCAGTGCAATGCGCCGTGTCTGTACCGGGTCTGCGAAGCAGGCAGCAATGGCAGCTGGTGTGGGCGGGTCCGAGAGTCCTGCTCTGCTCTATGGCGGAGCTCAGCCATCCAGGTGGGTGTGGCCAGCCATGGCACAAAGGCTGCAGACAACAAAAAGGTCCTGGCTTCTCTCTCTCTGTGTGTCTGTGTGTGTTGTTCTCATAACTCCATTTAAAGCCTCGGCCTCAAAGAGCGACGGAGTGAGAAAAAAACATCATGGAAGTGATGAGAGCACGACAACCCTCGGACCAAATTGCTCAGGGTTTGTCTCAGCCTTTGTGCAATGAACTGACCTCCTCCAAATCAACAAGTCAACATGCAGAAATGTTTGGTTTCTTATTCTATTTTCTTTCTTTTTTTTTTTTTTTTTGCTGTTTTAGTGACAACCATGATGCTATCTGGCATGCTTTAGTGGCTGTAGGACCATATTTATTATTTAGTCCTTAGGTCTGTTTAGATTAGGATGCGTAACACCCCTGTTGCTCAAGACAGCAGGCTAATCAGCGGTGGGTAGATTTCCTAGCCATAGAGTGACACTGAATGGCCTAGTTTAAGATTTTAAAGGGGAGTAATTTCTGTAATACAAGTACAAACAAACTTTTTTAACCACTTAGCTGTTTTAAAGTGTTCTGTCCCCTCTGTACTTTACTATGAAATGCATGTCAAACATTGAACTCTGCCCGTCTAATCAGTTTGAGGTTCTGCTACAGATGCACAGACACCCCCAGCGTTTCCCAAAGTCAAATTTACTCATACAGTATCAAACACCTGAACGCCTTCCACACCCATATGTGTTCTGCATGTCTCCTCGTCAGTGTGAGCCTAAGTGTAGTAAGTGTAACATGTCCACCCTGGGATGCTGTATTCTGTAGCAGGAGCTCAAACCCTGGTGTCTAGAAGCAGCAGGGATGCTAGAGTTAGAGCAGGAGAGGCATGCGGCGTGTTGCTTACTTAAAGCCCCATCCAGTCCCCCCCAGCACTATGGCAGCCACAAGGATGGCTCCGGCGATGGAGCCTATTATTAGATTGGTGGCACTAGGACCTGTAAAGGGTTATGGGGAAAAAGACATGAGTTCCTATACTCATTTACTGTATTAATAACATTTAGCTATACAATGATGATTTCACATGGAACAGAAAACATACCATAAGTATACTATTACAATAAAATGACTGAGTTTGAGAATGCATTTTTTTGCATGCTTTTCAACCCCCTTTTAGTGTTATAAAGAGAATGTAATCAAGCAAACGCCCTGGAAATATTTAAGTTTATCTGGTGTCAGTTGAGGTAGCGATTATCAGTGGTTTGTCTGTTAAGGTTGTGTAGACCCTGGGTATCCATCACTGTAAAGGTTTACAGGTGACATGTACGTGTGATCTGCAGGGTGAGCAGTACAAAATGTTTTAGGGGTCCCAGTCACCACACAGCCTACCACTGACTGACAAGCCAGGTCACTAACTGGACACTTCTCAGGACTGTTTTCATCTAAATGCCCCACATGCCCCAGAAAGGAGAGGATCACAGGAGCAACCACATAACGACTAAGAATAAGAGAAAGGAGAGGAAGTAGGGAGGGAAGAGGGAGGATGAAGAAAGAGGCTTGTAGTAATGGGGAACGACAGGAAGTGACAGGAGAAGGAGAGGAAGGAGGGAGGGAGGGAGGGGAGATCCATCAATCAATCACACGACACTGAAAACATCCAATCACATGACAATTATATGGTCATCACCAACACACAAGAAAACACAAAGCCACCGGGACGCACACACGGGCTCAGGCCGGCTCACGAGACCGCCCGCACACTGAGGCACCACTATGAGAGGAAGAGCTGTGAAAGGGTTAAAGATGCTTACTCTATTCCCCACCCTGTGCCTCCAAAAATCACCCCCAGGGCCAGAATGGTCCCTGCTACTGCCCCTATCAGCCTGTTAGTGGCCACGCTCACTGTGCAGAGGGGAAAAGGAGCATTATTACCACCCTGTCAAAAACAAATAGCAGGCTTCTGCTTCAGAGTCATGGATGAAGTGACCACTGCCCCGTAAGCCCCTCCCCCTGTGGTCAAAGCATCATCTTCAGAATCAGAGCAAACAAATCTTACACTGCTTTTACATTCTCCTACAATCAAAGCCTTTATGTTCCCCAGTAGACCTGTGAAACTCAGGAATGTGCGACTGACTCAGATCTAGCAGTGCGACTGAGAGCGACACTGTAATAACATTTACATTAAACATACGATCAATGTGAATCTGGGCTAAATTAAAAAAGGGTGGATATATTCATTTTTGGATGGCGGATGGCGGGAGTAGAAAGGTTGGAAACCGACCCTTGGGTTCTTCTTCTGGAGTGACATCGGGCTCTTTAGGCGGGTCAGGCATGCTACAGTCTGTCCCGGCCCAGGTGGTGTCACAGGTGCATGTGGCTTCATTGTTGCATACCTGTGCACAGCAGACATACAGAGGTAAACAGAATGAAAGATGGAGTTTTTTTAAATTCCCCTCAAGGAACTTTTTCTCTTCCATTTTCCCCCAACATTATACAAAAAAATCGGGCATAGGTTTTGACGTATGATAGAAAAAACACAATAGCTCTGTTTTATTCAGCTCCAGTAATCCAAGCTGGTGTGAGCATCACAGAAAAGCATCACAGCGAGAAAAGTGCAGGATGGTGTAAAAAATGTATTTAATTTAGGCAAGCTGGTTTTCGGCTGACTGGCTTACTGGGACTCTTGAAGAAAATCAATCAACCGACGTGTAATTTCCCAGGCAGCTATAGCCCCCTGAGGAGAACTCGCTTGGGAAAAAAACTTCTTTAAGAAACATCTTAAGCTTCATTTATAGCGCTGAACTAAATCCCTGAAGAACCTAACGCTGCAGTTAGTTAACGCTTTGCATTTATACTTGTGCACTGGTGTGTCTGCATTACTTCGTCGTCTCAAGTGAAACTCATCCAATCATGTTGGACTCTAAGATAATAAATATTGAACAATGGCTACATGGAACATTTTGAATTTGGAAAAATAGTAGCTACTGCATTAGTAATTAATAGCAAAATGCTATTATTGGAATCATAATCACATATTGTAACCATAGGAAGTTACATTTCTGGGAAGATGCATGTCTCAATGCAGTATAGAGCAAATCAAGCTATTATTATTGTTTTGTGTCTGTGTGTTTATTTTATCGTCAAAATAATATTTTCAAAAACAATTTGAGTTGCATTTAATTCAGGAAATATAAAGCATTGTATTTCCTGCAGAAAAGATTACGATTTTTGACTATTATGTATTTACATATTTTTAATTGTGGCAATTTCTACCACATCAGCTGAGAAATGATGCTGCACATGCCGGGCCACTCAGAAAGGAAGCACATTTAGAGTTTGAAAAGAGAGCTGGGATAGACTCGAGTACAACCCTGAATGACCCTGAATTGCATAAGCTGTTAAGAAAATGGATAGATGGATGAAGAGAAGTATTTTATTTATTTTTATTTAAATACAGAATTAAAAGAGCTTTATTCTGCAACCTCTTCTTAAAAAAATCTAAATAAAGCCAGTTTGGCTTACTGGTATAAGAGGTATTTGACATTTCCATAGAAGGGTAGAGGTTTTCCCCAGTTTCCAGTTTGTGTTGGCACCTGAATAAAGGATTGCCAGTTGCATATTTCCCTTAAGCTTGAGGCTTTTGTTTGACTTTTTCTACTGAGAAAAAGAAAATCAACAACCCTGGGCATTTGAAATGCAATGAGCCTCCTTATTTCTCCTCATCCCTCCAGAGTGAGATTTAATAAACAAAGAGCAAATACTGGTGTTTGCTGAACAGAAACTCTAAGTTAGAGCATAAACAGCCTTTATCCATGACTCAGTAAGCACCCTTTTCATCAAAGGTGTTGGAAACGTTCTGCAGCCCTTACAAATAAATACTACACGCAGTCCATGCTTGCTAATCTTCTAAAAATGAGTGAACACCCTCTCAATTTGCCAGTGAGCAAAGAGTAGGTGTAGGTAAGTGTGTACAAATACTCACCCCATGGCCCGAGCACACATGTCCGTTAGGTCCAATGGGGCAGGTGCTCATGTTAAGTGACTGGATGGGCAGACACTTGCGGTCAAGGCACATCATTGACGGCCCACAGGGAGTCCCATCCTCCACGTAGCCTAAATCAGTTTCATCATCCAAAAGGACGTGGGCACCCCTGAGGAGAAGGATGGAGTAGAGGTGAGGAGTGTTGAAGTCTCCCAAAAATAAAGCTACAGAAGAAACACTGCCTGTAGGCACCCATTTTAGAAAGAAATAGAAAAACTTCTAGTAACAGCTTGCGTTTTATGAGAAAATGGCCCATTGCGACACAAAAAATCCCCCAAATTTACTACAGTTTTTCTATTTATTTCCCACATGGGTAAAGAGCCCCCAGACCCCAGGCATTATATTAAAGTAAATGTGTTTACGTGCACTGTATGACGTTCCCTTGGTGGTTGAAGGAGGTGGGGGTACTGTCTCCTTTCATGCTCCCAATGCGAGGGACACGCCCGACATTGGTACACAAAAGGAAACCACAGAACACGTCACTGTAAAAGAGAGAGATAAGCAACCAAAAATGTGTACAGATAACACTCTTCCACCTGTCTAACAATGTAATGTTCACCTCTGCACCACCAATTACCAAAATGCACCAGAAAGCTCTATTAGTTTGGTTCAAAGCGACATCTGTAAAGATCTGAAACCTCGTACTGATAACTTTGATTTGATCTGTTACAGTCAATGTTTGGTCTTTAATATTAAGTGCAATTTTAAAGTCACACTGCTTACCTTTAAACATGTTTTACAAATACACTGCCTGGCCAAAAAGAAGTCGCCACCTGGATTTAACTAAGCTATTAAGTATAAGCCTTTCATTGGATAATTACTGCAGTGATTACTTAATGCAGCTGGCAACATGTCATTTAATTAACCCTAACTGATGCAGTGAACAAACAACCACATCACAAAACATTTCCCGTGATTGTGGAAAAGATTTTAGTTTGTTTCAGAAGGTTATTGGTCTGTTCTACTGTCACCTTTATATTGTTAGAGACCCCACAGAACTACAGAGAAACCCCAGCAATGAGACAACACCCTATGAGCAAGCACTTGGTGACAGTTGGAAGGAAAAAATCCCTTTTAACGGGAAGAAACCTCCAGTAGAAACCACAAGTAGGCCCACAAGAATGCGTGGGCGACTTGGATCCATGCCATGGGTGTGAGGGGAAAGTGAGAGCAGAGGGAGTCAGGACAAAAGGCACACTATGGGAGAGCTAGAATTTAAAATAAATTACTAATAATTAAATGCAATATCCTTCTATAAACACATGGAAACTGAAAAAGAAAATGAGTGAAGGACATGGGACTCTCCCAGCAGTCTAAGATTACTGCAGCATACCCAAGGAATGGTTCAGAATCACCTGATCCAGCCTTAACTATACGCTTTATCAAAAGGAAAGTTTTAAGCCTTCTGTTATCTCCAGCAAAGAAAAACTAAAACAAAAAAAGAAATGTCATTGTGTAAAACCTGGAAGGAGGAACGAGGTCATAAAAAGAGGTGGATGAAACGATGGACCCATCATGCCGAGCGCCTAGTGTACAAGCCTGCAGAGGCAATTTTACAATCTCCGGCTGCTTCAGTTGGTTCTACAGTGTCATGTGGCCTAAAATAAGGTCAGCTGACTACCTGAATATACTGAATGACCGGGTTTTTCCATAGTGGATGTTTTTCTTCCCTGATAGCACATTCATGTTCCAAGATAGCAATGCTACGATTTATCAGGCTCGGACTATGAATAAATGGTTCAAGGAGCATGAAACATCATTTTCACATGTGGGTTGGCCAACCCAGACTTAGCTGACTTTAACTGTTATTGGGAATATTGCCTTAATAGGAATGTGCCGGAGAAGACGTTCTGATTCCGCCGACATCAGTCTTGTTAAAAAATGAATGCCACTCTGGACGAGAATACATATTGTGAAACTGCATGAGCTTTTTGAAACGATGCCACTGCAAATGCGTGCTGTCATCGAAGCTAAAGGCAGTCCAGTTAAATATTTCAGGGTTCAGCTTTTTTTGGCTGGGCAGTGTAAACTGACTTGACTTTTACCACCACATCCCAGTTAAAGAGAAAAGCCAGGAAGACTGAAGACATGTGTGCTGAGGTGGTTTCCCTGGAATCTGTTTTTAGTAATTGATCTGATTGGTAAAAATACATTCCTGGCATTTGATGGCAATTATCCATTTTAAACAGGTCCTTTGGCGCCCTCTGTTGGATGGCTGTAAAACAACAACAACTGAGAAACCTGATGCTGAAATTCCACATAACAGGATTAACTTGTACAACATGTCTTTGGAATACCACAACAAAAATTTGGGGATCCTAAAGGATCTTGACAGTAAAACTTTCTCACCTATGCACAGCTGGCTGCTTGGTGCACAAAATGGGTGTAAATGTTGGCCGATCAGTTTAGAAAAGTTCAAAATATGCTTTCAGGCACTTTATTATTCAATGAATGTGCGACAGTGTTATTATTTTGTGCTCACTGTTTGCTACACTGGATCCATTTTTCTCCATCTTTTCCACAGTTGCCCTTCTCTGTCCCCTCCGTGTTCAGCTTCTCATAGCAGAACTTCTCCGAGCCTCCAGCCTCTAAAACAAAAAGAGGGGCGATGAGCTGCACGCTGCCTCTCCCTGTGCAGAACCTGTGCTCAAATTAACCCGAGAAGCATTAAACCTTACTTGATCCCCAGATGTATTTACACTGGTTCTCTCTGGTCTTACACTCTCCACTGTAACAGCGACCCTTTAGATAGAGATTAATAAAAAATCAGAAAACTTTGAGCACATGTTGGCATTCATATTTTTGTAAATACCCATTTCTTACCTGGTTTACCTGGCAGATGTAACCATCTTGTTTATGAAGGTTTGGCGGGCACTGTAAAAATCACAAAGAGAACAACCTTTCTTTTTTAACAGCCAAATTTGTGTTCAACGTGCAAAAAAAATGAACTAATTAAAGCTATTTAAAGCTAAATAAACCCTAAGCTCAACCTGTCCCGAGTCCCCAGAGCAGGTCTCTGAGATGTCACAGTCGTTCACAGCATAGCGGCAGCTGTAACCTCGTGGGTAGAACTGGCAAGAAAAGGAGAATAAAACAGCGTTGGATTTCAGAAATCAACTACTAGTTTTTCAGAGCTTTAAAAAGAAAGAACCAAGCTTGTACCAAGCATGTTTTATTGCAGCATGGTCCATCGCTGCAGTGTGCCCCATTGGCGAGGGAGCACTTCTTGCAGCATTCCTTTTGGCAGTCCTGAAAACAAAGGGAAACGAGCTTCAAGCATCTGAACAAAGAGAAGATGGCAAATGGGCGTGCGTGACGTGGTGAAGTAAAAAGACCCTCACTGTTCTCAGTCCGCAGTCGCACTCCTCTCCCAGTTCTACAAATCCATTCCCACAATTTGCTGCCTCGAACAGCTGTCAGGAGAGGACAAGACGGTGTAAAAGGAGCACGTGTGCGTAAAAGTTTGACATGTTGAGAGAAGGGGCGACTAACCTTGGTTGGCCTGTTGAACAAACAAGAACCTCCACCTTTCAGGAGGAACTCCTTGTAGTCTGAGATGCTGCATTTGGAGAATTTTTGTGGGTGTTGGACTCTGCAGAGAGAAGACAATGATATTTATAAGTTTGTCCAACCAAACAGGATACAGTCAAAAAAATATGCCTAAAATGTTGACTTCAAGTAATCTGAATGCATGCAAATTTGCCAAAAGTGAATTTTCATTAGATATCTCAAATTTTCAGCTTACTGACTAAAACGTATCACTACGTTTAAAATCTTGAAATAATAACCTGAAATTTTGACCAATGGAAGTGTGTTTATGTTCTCAGTTGCAAGTTTCAAGTTAAATTGAATACAACATGATTTAAATTGTGGTGTCAAATAGAGGCGTGTAGAATGATAAAGCTGGGTATGCTTCTGGTCACTGACAAGTCACTATCGTAACAGCATGCTTTGTCCCTCAGTTTTTGAGTCAGAGCCACTTTTGCTCATCCTGTCCAGTTTCAAAACAACAAGATGGTGATGGCACAATCCTCTCTAGGAACATAACTAACCAATGGGGGACACCCTGGTGACTACAGCTACCTTTTATATACCCAATCCTACTTTAGCTAAAAGAGTTGCTTATTATTCACAAAACAGCATGCCGAAATTACAGTAGGTGCAACTTATTCATTTTCTTACTTGTGTACTGACTGACTAGGTGGTTAAAAACTGTGTAACTGTATTAAACAGTCGCTCAGAGTTAGTTAATAACAAGCAACAAGGAAAAAAGCTGAACGAGTACTGATTACTACATTACTGAGTGCACACAAACGAGCATTTTGTAATTGCTCCGCCATGTGAATGAATGACTGTGTATGCGTGTTTCTCGGGGGTATGTTGGATCTTACCCAGTATCCTCCATTATGCAGCCAGCCCACTGGCTAGTACAGCCGCATTCCTCTGCAAAACAGGGCAGAAAGAGTAGAAACACCAGAGAAAGAGGAACGGACAGAGTAAGAAAAGATAGCATCCACAACTTTCATTTTAAATAAAGAGTAGACAAAGTAAGCATGTTAGCATAATTTTTTTTTTTTGTTGTAATTTCAAAGAAAAGCAGTCTTAATCTGTGGATTTAACTCCTGATATCCAGCTTTCTGCTGAATAATGAAGAATCCTTTCACTTTATTTTACACTGACATTCTCCTTGGCAGCTTTGGGGCCACAAATAGACTTTTGCTGATGGCTAGCATTTTTTCCATCTTGTAGTTTCTAACCTGGCAGCTGCCTCATTAAGCATGGCGATCTCAAATCTGATGGCATAAATTCTTTCTCAAACGGACATTTTCTGGTCTACTTTTCTCAAATACAGTCAGTCCACCGACGGTGACTTCTGGCAACAGGGTTGCAAAGAGACTTTTTTGTTTTAGAGGAGGCCTGTGAATGACATCTAAAATATCAGTCAAGACTTTCAAAAAAATGCATTGTATCCTGTATTTAAACAGTTAAATGCCAATAGTAACAGAATAGTGAAATGTGAAAGTTCACTTAACACAAAACACTTCCTTCTTAGACATAAAGAGTTGAGAGCAGAAGTATTTGTGGTGCTCAAAGTACTTAAAATACAATTTCGAGAAAGAAAAACACCTACATTTCTGCTACTTCTCCAATTTCCAGATGTGAGGTTACATCCAGTTAGCAGTCTTAAATAAAGTGCATTTAAACACCTGCCTTCAAAACATTTTCTCTACTTTACAAACAACTTTAGCCGTGCAGCAAAAGCATTTCAGTTTTGTGTGTATGTCTGTTTTAAGAGTGAAAAATGTTCCCATCCTGACCTTAATTCAAGCAAAGCTGGATAATGTTAGAGAGGCATCTGAAACCAGTGTAGGGATCACAGGGTCTTCAATAAAACACCAAATGTATCATAACTGACAGGTGCATTTTTGAGACCGCTACATAAAAACTGTTATTTACTATGTGCCATGAACTTTGTGACTTTAGCCTGCCATGCCTATCGTGCTTATAGCAGCTGTGTGTTAAGAAAAAGTGTTTCATGTTTACTTCTCTTGGATGCCGGATCCCACTGGATGCCCAAGTTCTGTGCCAGGCTCTGGGAAAGAGACACTACCATGGACGAGGTGGTGCCGTACTGTTGGCACAACAGTGACAACATATTATTCACCGCATGATCACACTGCGATACGTCCACAGAGCAATGCTGGATGTGTGACAGTAAATCTGACCTCATTGACGCCTACTCCACGGCTCACAGAACACATGCCTCCAAAGTACGCAGTGCTGCTTCTGCGGTAGTGGAAGGTGGCGTTTCTGCAAGAATGATGGAGATGAAGAATAAGACGGAAGATATAAATAGCACAAAGCAGGTAAGAACACAGCAGTGCTGCTTTAGTTACAGGCAGGCAAACAAAGCGTACTTCCATCAGAGCAAAACCAGAACAACAGAGACCATCCCAAACGATCTGTTCAGCCCCCGAAGGGTGAACTTACGAGAGTAGCTGCACAGAATCGGCATGGTGCTTGATGCTTTGCTGCCGGTACTTGGAGAAATCACGCAGCAGTTCCAGCGGCTTCACACTTATGGGGATGTGATCCCTGTCTGTCCAAATCTCCACAGCAACAAGCACCACACGTGTATGGAGTTGCTCTTTGAAGATCTGCCGTCGGAAGCAATGAATGGAAGCAGTAAAGGAAAAAAAACACAACAAAACGTGTGAGATAGAGGCAGAGAGTGACAGCAAAGGAAGCGGAGGACGGATGTAGAATAATGGGAGCGGGGAGGAATACAGGGGAGTGTTTACACACATACAAAGAACACAGACAGACAAGGATAACACTGATGTTTAGCCATGATGTTTGCCCGTTATTTTTGGAGTTTTGAATTCTTAGTTATCTATCTGAGTTTGGGTGTCTGGTTTGCTTTCTCTGTTATTCTAGTGTTTGAAGTTTTGATTCTTATCTGTGGCATGATGAGTTTTGGATTCCTGATTTGATCCTTTGCAGTATTACTGAAGCTATGTTTCTTATGCTCAGATAAAATGAAAACAGAAGCCTGTTCTAGTCAAATGTGTACGTTTTTTATGCTTCCTTGTATTCCAGTTGCTGTCTTGAGGTATTGTAGCTCAAGACTAACCAGAGTGAGTTTCTTGTCTGTGTTTAGTATTTATCTTTTGAGTTATTTCCTGTTTTACTCTGTCAGTTGTCTCTTGTGTTTTGCTTTGACTTTTACTTCCTCCCCTGTGATTATCTTGTACCTTCACCCATGTTTCATTTCTCTCCTGCTCCCAGTTTGCCCTCAGGTTGTTTATATACACTCACTACAAACTGCATTTAAATGTTTAATTCTCCGGGCATAGATTCAACTAGATGCTGGAAACATTCCTCAGCAAATCTGGTCGATATTGATGTGACAGCCTCCCTCAGTTGTTGCAGATTTGTCAGCTGCACAATAATGATGTGACTCTTCCATTGCATCCCAAACGTGCCAAAGTTTTAGCAGCACTGTCACTTAAATAACCCGTTTCCCCATTCTGACAGTCAATGTAAGTTTCCGCAGGTCATCTTGACACCTCTACATGCCTCCATACACTGAGTTGCTGCCATGTAATTGGCCGATTCAATGGTTGGGCTAATGAGCAGCTATTGAACAGCTGTACCTAACAAAGTGTCTAGTAACTGTATACTGCCTTTCTTCCAATTAGTCTTTGTCTTCCCTGGATGTGTGCTTGCTGTTTACCCCGGTTCTCTGTGGTTTCCTTGTTTTAGTTATTGATCTACGATGTCAACAAAATAAAAGGTTTGCTTTGCATTATTTTGTCTGCCTGGAGTCGTGCATTTTAGTCCTGTGACAGTCCTGTGACAAGGTTTACCATTGTAGTTTAAGCATCAAATGCAAATTAGACACGAGGGTGAATGAAATGTTAAACATTTTGCAGATAGTGAGCACTGAACAAAATCAAATCTTATCCAGCTTGTGATGCCAGAGAAGTCATGTGCTAGACCGCAGGTGTCGAACTCCATACCTCGAGGGCCGGTGTCCTGCAGGTTTCAGATGTGCCGTTGATCCAACACAGCTGATTTAAATGTCTAAATTACCTCCTCAACATGTCTGGAAGTTCTCCAGAGGCCTGGTAATGAACTAGTCATGTGATTCAGTTGTGTTGACCCAGGGTGAGATCTAAAACCTGCAGAACTCCAGGCCTCAAGGGCCGGCCCTTGAGGCCTGGAATTCGACACCCCTGGGCTAGACTGTCAGTATGTTGGTGCTGATTTGGTGATAATAGTAGCTGAGTGAAGTTAGACCTGCTGATGGCAAAACATTAAAAGTCAACTGTTATTAAGTACAGTAGGAGACGTTGCCAGACTTCTAGTAGGTCTTCTACAGATGATATTCTAAAAGAGGTTTCCAAAAAAAGCACACACTCCAGTTTGCTCAAAGGATAAGTAAAAAGCTTACTCACACTATCCACAAGATTAACTACTGACTTGGCAAAGTTCCTCGTGTGCTGCTTGTTCCTGTGTCGTTTAAACTGCAAACAGAAAGGGGGAGGGGAAAATAGCACACAGTGATGTACAGTGTGTAACGTTCGGTGACGCTTGCTGCTCCCTCTTCTGGGAGGGAGTCGGCCCAGGTCTGGAATATTAAAGAGTATCCTTTTGTCCATGATAAAATACCAGCCACATAGCATCAAATGAGGAAAAAAGGAGAGATTTTTACGCACCATACTGTGGTCACTGACAATCATGACTTCTAAATACTTCATCTCCTCAAATACGCTGCGAGGCATCTGCAAAACAAAACAACAATGACCAGGCAGCTTCAAGTGTATAATTTGGAGTATCACCACAGGTCTAACCTTGTAAACGTCTGTGGGTGTTTTTATTGTAAACTGTGAAACGCAGCCGGGGTGAGTGCACTAAAGTCATTGCATTACTTCAGAGAGAGGTGAGATCAGAGACTTACTGCTCGCTTTTTCCTGCGCCTCAGCCAGGACAGTTCATCCAGCTCGGAGAAGAGCTGCTCCTCCTCTTCCTCTGCAAATAAGCGCAAGGAAAGAGTGACACTTCTACAGACTCAAGTGTTTACATCCCTGTAGCCTTGTTTTGAAAGAAATCAGTTATGCATGTGACATTTTCCCAGAAATTTCCACAGCGTGTCTCAAAATTTCCTATGAAATGCAAAAAGACGAGTGAAGACAGGGAACTTGGCAAAACGGCAGCGAGGCAAGTGCTTGTGATCCAAGGAAAGTGATATACATTTGGTCCATTTGGCAACTATAACACTAAAATCCAATCCAGTTTGTTTTAAAGGTCTCTTCTGGGGTGACAGCCTATCTGGACCTTCCTGTCCTTGCTTTGTGTCTGAAGACAGGGATGATAATGTCAGGTTTAGGAAGTCAAAAGAGGTGTGGTGCTGGTCAGAGGGGAAGGACTGATAAAGACAGTTATGTGAAAAGGCTAATGACAAGCATCGAAACCTTACCCTGCTCCACTGAATCATCATCCCACAAAGAAGAGGCTGCTCTTCTTAGTTTGTGAGGCCTAGCAGCTGTATCCTGTAGGAGTCAGGCAAACAAATCGGTGAGAAAAAAAAGGGAGGGTGACTTGTACAAGCAGGCAGAGCAAATGAAAAAAATAAGTTTAAACACATAATTTATCAAGGATTTACAAAAGTAAATGCAGGACTAAATAATTACACAAATAAAAATGTTTGGCGCTGAATGCCTGCTGCACATCTTTTCTGACGTTTAGCTGCTGTTATGTATCAGAGTGAGTACTCTTGAGTTGCTGATTTCAAGAGCACGAGGTGTTCCAGTTTTATAAAGAACAAGAGCACTTATGTTTGCATGTAAAGGGGGGGAAACTATTTTTCCCACCAGCAATGCAGTCAAATCCACTTGTAGTAGCAGGAAAAGGAACATTTCTAGCAGTGCACGAACATGTAGACCGTCAATGCTAGAAAACAGATACTGCGCAATCAAAAGCATGTCCGACAGATTATTACAACAAGAAGAAAGTGCTGGCAATCGCTAAACATCCCAGCACTCGTGATTTTTTTGGCCACAGATTCCCATTAGCACCTAAAGTTCCTCTTTCTCTATAACTATGATATAATTATGACTATTGGTCAGAGGGCCCGGTGGCACCAGTGTCCGGCATCCTCGCCTCTGTCAGTGCGCCCCAGGGCAGCTGTGGCTACAATGTAGCTTACCATCACTAGTGTGTGAATGTGTGTGTGAATGGGTGGATGACTGAATGTAGTGTGAAGCGCTTTAGGGTCCTTAGGGACTAAGTAAAGCGCTATACAAATACAGGCCATTTACCATAACAGGAAGAACTGGTGTGGGCCAGAGCCATCACTGAATAGTCATCCAGGACTAGAAAACCACCCTAACCTTAACCAGCTTTCTACTATGGCTTGACAAATAGGAATTATGATGATTAACATACAATAAAAATGCAGATTATTTGTCTTTTGCTATAGCCATATGTAAAAAAAACATAAGGTCATGTTAATCCCATGTAGGAAATTGCCGTTTCCTTTGAAAACAGGATGATCCTGGTAGGATATCCTTGCCTGAGAACAAAAAGGAGCAACAGCATAAAACATGTGTTTCCATCCAAGGCGAGGATGTTTGTTTGATCGCAGTGTGCGTGTCTGCTAAAGGAATAACTTACACTTGAATGATTCTGTTGTAAGGGCTCAATTAGATACACATGGACTCCATCGTCAAACATCCCACTGCCAGGCAGAGGGAGAATAAAAGGGAGAGACACACCAGTCAATACCGAGTCAATAGGAGCTAAGCAGCAGAGATGAGTACATCCAGAGATATTCTGAGCGCGGCGAGGATTTCACAAAAAAAAAAAAAAAAATCTGATGTTCACTTACTGCAAACCGTTACAGGTAGATAAGGCTGCGTGGGAGTTATCGTTCCCTCTCACCTGGCCGTGGTAGTAACAGTGCTCACCGCCCTGAGAGAAGAAGACACAGTACTAAGGCAGCATCAGCGCTAGCATAATGCACAGAGTTGTGTGTACACCGTCGTGGCGCTGTGTAAAGCTGTCAGTGTGTTTGAATTTTCCAGCAGTCCTAAAAGGGTAACAGCTTGTGTCACAGATGTCAGTTTTGGCTTATTTGCAGCTCACTCCTGCAGGGGGGCTCAATCTATGCTTGTTAAAAGGGGAAGTTAATACACTGCAAGGTGGGTGCCGACACTGTTTGTGACTCAGCCCTCAGACCCCGGGTGAGCGCAGGACCCTGTTTCCCTCTGTCTCTCTCTTTTCCTCTCCCTCACACACTTCACCCATCCCGTCCTGCACTGATACTGCAGAGTGCTTTCTCTCCCTCATCATGTGACCAGAGCTCCAGCAGGAGGCTGCAGGGGAGCAAAACCCTGCTGATTCAGCTACAGCATGCCCAACCCAGCTCTCTGCCTGAATCAGCAGCAGGAGAAAACAGCTCTCATTTCCATCTCACTAGCTTATATCCTCATCTATCTATCTATCTATCTATCTATCTATCTATCTATCTATCTATCTATCTATCTATCTATCTATCTATCTATCTATCTATCTATCTATCTA